AGGGGGTTTAGTTTTTGAGAAAACTCGACCAGTTTGAAAAACTGTCAAACAATCAAAATTTATGTTCTTCCGATGGCCAAAATTTGTGGAAACATATTAGGGCGTAACCGCTTTGGAGTTTCCTACAAACGGTTTTACAGGGCTTCCGATAAAGCATTGTTCGATAAAGCATGACTCCACATCATCCTGAGGCTACTCTTTTCTTAAAAGTCAATAAAGAGCTTTGGGATGCTAAACTCGTTCCAAAAATTTTGTAAAATTGAATATTTGTTTTGATTTTTCATTCAAACTTATGGAACGAATAAAACCCCATAATTGCCATTATTTATTTTTCTTGAGCAATTATGGAAATAATGGAGGGAAAGAAGGACGATTATGGCATAATGTAGGGCCGAAACCCCATTATATGGCCATATATTTTGCGGAACCCCAGCTGTTTTATTCGTTGATCCTGAAATGGTCCTTCAGAAAAATGTCGCAGTATGATTTCATGAATTTCATGTTTTGTTATCTTATAAAATTTCCCCCTATCCATTTCAAAGTTGAAAATCTAAAAAAAACCAATAGTGGGTTTTGATGACAAGTAAGTCAACCCAATCATATGGTTGTTAAACCGTAAAATGAAGTAAAGCGAGCAAACTTCAATATATAAAAAATAGTGATTAAAATTTTCAATCTGAAAGGTTTCTGACTTAACATATTTCGCCAGATTTTTGAAATGAATAATTTATAAGCAAACTAGCTATCCAAATTATAACATGCAATATGCATGCGGGACCTGTCTATCATAGTTGCTTTTTCGAGGGACCACTCTATCATAGTAGTACCCTTAACAATCTCGGGGTATCCGAATTTTCTCGGCACTCTTCAATACTTTTTCCGCTTCGCCACTGTGGCACTTTGGCACGTTGAACACCCTCATATTTCCTTAGATTAAGAGGATCCTATTCTCATGGCCGAATCTTATAATGCCCAAATAACATCGAAAATTGTTATTTACCCGCAAAAATCGGGTCTTTTCGGTTGTACCCCCTACATGATGAAAAATGAAAATTAAAATTCTTATAACAAAATTGGGATTGATATCACTAAGAAATGCAAGATATTAATATGGGACTGGTCAAAACGAAGCATTTTTACTTCATTTGCTGTTCAACAACATTTTAATTTGCTGCAAAAATGACAAAAACGGCGTGTTGCGAGCTTGCTAGCAATTGAAAGGACGCACTTTATAACTAGAGCCAGTTATCGCCCCCCGATGACCATACACAGGAGATATCCGAGTTAGCAGCCTTTGGCTTAGCCTTTTCGCACTGTTGAACAAAGTTTTTGGGTCTTTTTACTAATTCCTCCCAAAAATCAAAATTTCAACATCTTGATAGGAAACTATTTTGCTTCAATATTAAGTGCTTCAATTAGCCAAATAATTTCAATACCATTTCAAAATAATTTATTCACATTTTAAAGTACACTCAGGGGCGGATCTAGGATTTTCTCGAGGGGGGAGGGGCACATTTACAAAAAAAAATTCGACAATTTTGTCGACCTTTTTTTAGGTCGACCAAATTGATTTTTCGAGCACTCCCCAAGCACTGCTTGGTTCCAGTTTTGTCCAAGTTTTCTGAGCCGCATGCTAAATTTTGAAAAAAAAGCAGGCCAAGAAGCTTTTTGGGCAATTTTTAGAAAATTTTGACCAAAAAATCGCGTTTTTTCGGCGCACTGCCCCCTCAAAGTTAGTATATATTGGCGCCGAGGGCACCTTTGGAAAATTTTTAGGGTCCATCAACAAGAATGTATATTGGAAAATAGTACTATCCTTTATTTCAGAAATCGATGGTTGGTTTCCGGTAAATTGGATTTTAGTTTTAAATTCTTGGAACGCTTTAGTTTCACCACTTGCAATTTTTGTCGAAACATTAGATTGAGCTTTTTCATATAATTTGATCCGATGTTAAAAATTCTTAAGTTTGAATCCGGCTAGGACCTTGTTTTTTTGTCAAACAGGAAAAAACACATTTCAAAAAAAATTTCGGCCGATTGTCGTCTGTTTGTTTTGTCGGTTTGATTGCCATACCGTGGACTTTTCTTGTGCTGTCAGTAGTTTCATTGTAACTAAAAGTTCTTTGATTATCTAAAATATAAGAAATCTACTAAAACCTGACGTTATGATTTTTATTGTTTGTTTTTTTTCGCTCAAAAGTTTTCTTTTGTTTTGGTTTGTCTTGTTTCGACTTGGTGACATAATTTTGCATCGTTTCGAAAAATGATTTGTTTTTTTTTTAAACTTTTTTGTGTTTCTGGAGGGGCGTAAGTTTTGTACAATATCAGAATTTCATAATTCTAAGTTTTTAGGTCAGCATTTTCTTTAGGCTCAAAAGGCGTTTACCTATTTTTGTCAGCTTGCTTGCCGCTGGACAAACATTTTTTTTTACTTATTGTTTCATTCTATGTCGGATAGCTTGCAATGCTAGTTTTGTGCGATGTCACAAGTGCAGGGTAGCATCGCTCAACCTTTTTATTCCAATTGATAGGAAAATCCCAAAACCCGCTCTCTTCATTGAACCCAAAATCTCATATTAGGGGGTTTAGTTTTCGAGAAAAGCCGACCAGTTTGAAAAACTATCAAACAATCAAAATTTATGTTCTTCCGATGGCCAAAATTTGTGGAAAGAAGTTAGGGCGTAACCGCTTCAGCAGCGGAGTTTCCTACAAACTGTTTTACAGGGCTTCCGATAAAGCATTGTTCGATAAAGCATGACTCCACATCACCTTGAGGCTACTCTTTTCTTAAAAGTCAATAAAGAGCTTTGGGATGCTAAACTCGTTTCAAAAATTTTGTAAAATTTAATAATTTGTTTTGATTTTTCATTCAAACTTATGGAAATAATAAAACCCCATAATGGCTATTATTTATTTTTCCTGAGCGATTATGGAAATAATGGAGGGAAAGAAGGGCGATTATGGCATAATGTAGGGCGGAAACCCCATTATATGGCCATATATTTTGCGGAACCCCAGCCGTTTTATTCGTTGATCCTAAAATGGACCGACCAAGTAAACGTCTTCTTCCCGAAGCTGATAGGGGGGAGGAAGTTAACATGGTCCTTATTTGAGAAACCTCAGCCAATCAGAATAAAGCATTTTATATGCAGTACAAATTTAATTTCTTATCTTGATCTTAACTTGATTTATTTCTATTGGGGGGAATGTTAATTTTATCCTTCAAAATCTCAGATAGAAAGTGGGGTACGGTAAAAAGAGAGGAGTCGTAGGCGTACATGCAGGCACATAGACGAGTGTTAATTTATTTGGGTCTTATGCACTAAACGACCCAAAATCATTATTTCTACATCTCTTGAACTGAAATTATTGTGGTTGAACTTGATTGGCTAATTAGCCAATCAAGTTCCATCGACATTTTCTGCCATTTCAAATGAAATAATTAAAATTCTGCCGTTTCAAGCAGATAAAATTATTAGCCGAATTATGAACTTGAATTTTTTTGTCAAGCCAATTTATTAAGTTTTCCTTGTCTGGGCAAGGTTTCACAAGTAACTCAAAATTAATTTGATTATTTTACAAAGTTCCATATTTTCGGAAATTTCGGCTAATATTTTTATCTGCTGGAATTCCTGACCGTCTAACTTGAATTTGATTGGCTAAAATTACCCAATCAAATTCGATTATTATAAGTATTTCCAGCTAACTTATGTAGAAAATTTGAATTTGGGCCGTTTAGTGCATGAGACCCATTTCATTAAATGGGTGGCAATTCTTTAGTAGATACCAAAGGGAGGGTGACTATTTAGGGTTGGGTAAGACAGTGCCGAAGTAAGAGAGTGCCGAAAACAAAAATTTGTTAAAGAGTGCCGAAAATGAAAATTTGTTAAAGAGTGCCGAAAATGAAAATTGAGTGCCGAGGTGGGTGTAATTAGTGTTTTCAGCGAGGCATGGCCCGCTAATATTTGGCAAGGACCATACGTTCGCTCCGCTTCGCTCCGCTCACTTGAATCCGATACGAGTGCTAGTTGTGTCTAAGGGTCTGTGTTTCAGGAATTAAAGAACTTAGTAGCATTCTATCACCCAAGCGAGGGTGCCGAAAACAAAAGAAAAGAAAGTTTTGTTTGCTCATCGATTTTGGCGCCAAAATTGAGTCTGAACAAGTTTCAAGTGTCATTATTAATTTTCCCGCCAAAAGCTAGCCTCTTAAATTGCGTTCCAATATTTCCCGCCTTTTTCGGCACTCTCTAACTTCGGCACTGTCTAACGCCCCCCTATTTAGATCCCAAAGGGAGTTAAGATCCAATTTAGGTTTAGTTCAGAATCAGGATCATTCCTGACATTTTTTAAATTCTAGCCTAAAACTTGTTTTATAGAACTGTTTTTGATTACAAAATTTTTCTAGACTCCGATGAAATCAAATCGATCAGGTTCTTCAGAAATTTTCGATTGACGACTTGGTTCCAAGATCGCCAATGCTTCAAACATTGCTAGACTTAACTAGCCTAGACTGGAATATGTGATGAAGGACTAGTTCCAACATCAGATCAGGCATTGTTAATAATAATTTTCAATAACACTAGATACTAAAACACAGATTTTATAGCGCGTTTATTCAAAAACAAATGCAAGTTCAAATCATTCACACGAGTATTAGTGAGTTTGATAGCCTTGAAGAACTAGGAGAAAGCAAAAACAGCGATTGTGCTAAGCGTTCTTTTGAATAGCATTCATTATAATAAGCAGTACACTACTATTGTGCTGTAAGTTTGTATAACTAGAATTGTCACCTATTGGAACTATGCCGTAAATAGGATCGAAAACCAATTGGTAAGCTTTATATGAGTTCCTTCATGATCGGAAAATCTTAAATGATTAGATGGTAGGGGTTGGTGGTTGCCGCTGTCTTTTTACACAGTTATAGCTAATAAATAACTTGAGATTGTTAAGCAATAAATAAACGTTTGTTACTTATCTCAACCACTGAGGTCGAGGTTATATCCCAGTTGGTCTAGCGGTTAGGATTTGTGGCTTTCACCCACAAGGCCCGGGTTCGACTCCCGGACTGGGAAATTTTTCAATTTACAACTATTTTAACTTATTTTCTACTAGCTGTTTACAAGGTGAATTACCAACAAAAAATAAACATGACAATCTGTTATTATAAATCATAACAACGTTAACTTTCGGCGGGGTACTACTAGGTACTACTATGATAGAGTGGTCCCTCGAAAAAGCAACTATGATAGACAGGTCCCGCGGGGGCTATTCTCATGCGCGAAGAACCAAGGCTTGGTAAAAGTCAATTGGTGACCAATTAATTGCAATTAATTGGATGCAATTAATTGACTTCTTTGTTTTTCCAATTTTTGACTATTGACAAAATCCGCCAATTAATTGCAATTAATTGAAGGTTTGCAAACTTTGAAATTTATATGATTGGCTCTTTTCCAGTTTCCCCCCACCTTTCAAATTCAATTTTGAAAAGCTTATTTAGCGTTGCCATAATGCAATGAAATTTGGCCTGGTGAACAAATCGACAATTCTGAACAGATTTGTTCTTCATACTTTCCAGCGTAACATCACGCATTTAGCCGTAATAACACGTAAAACAAACATAAAACTCGGTATTTTGAAAGGGGGGGGGGGAAACTGGAAAAGAGCCATATGATTTTGTCTTTGAAATGTAAAGCTATTATTGACTTCGTAAAAAAAAAGTGTACAAAGAAATCAGCTGACAGTGTTTATCAAGATGTAGGATATTACGACGGAGTATTTTGCCGATGAACCTTAAAATGCAGCTGTTCCTGAATGTTAACAATCAATTTTGGTCGAAAACTGACGTTGCTTAAGCTATGAATGAGACCCAATTAATTGCAATTAATTGATAATTGACAAAGCTTGAGCAAACAATTCAATTAATTGACAATCTTTTCAAGTAATTGACTTTTTGTCTACCAATTGACTGTTACCAACCCCTGCGAAGAACCGCATGGGCGAAAAAACTTGTGGGCCAAGGACCTAAGACCCCCGGTTGACCTCCATACACCGAAAATGCTTATCATACAATTCCATACATCAAGTGTGTGGAAAAATGCTTGTCATACAATTTTCATACAATTTCTAAAAATGGTTGAAAAAAGATGTAAACTTATTTCTGTGGCTGTTTGATTGGGCTCTTTTCCAGTTCCCCCCCTTTATAATTCATTTTTGAAAAGTCTATTTAACGTTGTCACAATGCAATGAAATTTGGCGTGGTGAACAAATCGACAATTCTGAACAGATTTGTTCTTCATATACTTTACAGCGTAACATCCGCATTTAGCCGTAATAACACGTAAAACAAATATAAAACTCGTTATTTTGAAAAGGGGGGGAACTGGAAAAGAGCCTTTGATTCTAATAAAACAGTCTGGTAATAAAAAACCGAGGTTTTCATTTTTTGAAAAAAATGCTTGTCATACAATTCCCATATATTCCCATACTGGCTTTTTTTTGATGGCGACACAAAAAACTTTTTCAAGTAATTGGCTCTTTTTCCTTTTCCCCCCCACGTGCGAATTTTTATAATTGAACTTTTATGGAAAAACACTTATCATACAATTTTCATATATGGAAAAATGTTTATCATAGAGATTTCATACAATTTTCTGTACGTATGGAATTGTATGACAAGAAGTTTCTCATATATGAAAATTGTATGATAAGAAGTTTCGGTCATCCTGGGACAATGGTAACTGCACAACCCTACGGAGCAATAAGTAAAATACAGCAGAACGGATCAAAGAGCAGAAAAACAGAAAAATGGGTCGTTTCAAAACTTTTTCTCTAATGTAATTACCCTGCCTCATTTCCGTTAACTTGCTTGTACCTAAAACTGTTTGGGTATAAATTATAATTGAATTACGGTCTTCCAATTGAGTTCAAAATTCATCTAGTTGCAGTTAATTGCTTTTTTGAATTAATTTTTGAGAGGCACTGACGACAATTATTGCCATAATCTATAAATCTATGAGTTCCATGTTTTTCCGATACCGATCTTTGCACGGACAACTTAAGCGGCAAAAACTTCAACTCCACGGCAGGATTTGAAGATCGTGAAAAATATGGAACGCTTCAAGATTTTGCGTGTCATCCTTGCGCAGGGGCCATGCTAATCTTCTCTGTATCGTTCCAATTTTAGTATATGTGCTGCCGAAGCTAGCACGGGAAATATATGCTTGAGTCGAACTATCGATCATAAGGTCGTTTTTGGCCTAAAGCGGCTGAAGTGAATAAATTGTCACATCTTGGAAGGAATGAAAGAAATAAATGACCTTGTCCATGGTTAACATAGACACTATATACAGCTGATATTCTGCGTACACTTTGAGTCGCTTGCTTTCAACGTTGCTCGAAAAGAATACATTATAAATCTATCTGATTTATAATATTGGCTTGCCTTCTATGTTATTTTTGAAGCAACAACACATCAATGGAGCAAAAAAAGACCGCTCTTTTCCAGTCCCCCCCTTTCAAAATACCGAGTTTTATATTTGTTTTACGTGTTATTACGGCTAAATGCGTGATGTTACGCTGTAAAGTATAAAGAACAAATATGTTCAGAATAGTCGATTTGTTCACCACGCCAAATTTCAATGCATTTCAACGTTAAAACGACTTTTCAAAATTGAATTTGAAAGGGGGGAACTGGAAAAGAGCCAAAAAGACAATTTTATTCGGTTGCTCAATCGGTTAGCATAACAACAGACAATGATAAAAAATAAGAAAGCTAGGACAAAAAAAGGACCAACACGCTGCAGATAGGCAAAAGTTGACTCATTGGTAGCCTGATTACTCGATTTGCATGTTCTGAAAAATACAACAGACGTCTTGCAAACAAGTACGAACTGTCTCCAATAATTGTTACATTCTGACCGAATGGCACTTGTGCACTGACCGTCCTAGTGACGGAATGTTGAAGAAACCAAATAAGTTGACTTTACTTTTTCAACCATGACAACTTGTAACTTTCTCTCCCTTCAGAAAAACATTTGTTTGGTGTCAGATTGAATATCAACGGATATTCTGAATTGTTTTCAGAAACTTCAATAATATCAACCGTCGACAAAGTGACAAGCGCCATAAAATGAATTGAATATTTTAAACAGTTTTTGCGAATAATTCGCTGATTGTACTAGCGCAATTTTCTTTGCTACAAGGGAGCGTGAAAAGGACCAACCAGCATTGGCAAAACTAAGATTGCAAGTTAAATCTTCAGTTCAGCCCTCGGATCTATACTTAACAATCTCGGGGGATCCGAATTTTCTCGGCACTGTTCAACACTTTTTCCGCTTCGCCACTGTGGCACTTCGGCACGTTGAACACCCTCATCTTTCCTTAGATTAAGAGGGTCCTATTCTCATGGCCGAATCTTATAATGCCCAAATAACATCGAAAATTGTTATTTACCCGCAAAAATCGAGTCTTTTCGATTGTACCCCCTACATGTTGAAAAATGAAAATTAAAAATCTTATAACAAAATTGGTATCGATATCACTAAGAAATGCAAGATATTAATATGGGACTGGTCAAAACGAAGAATTTTTACTTCATTTGCTGTTCAACAACATTTTAATTTGCTACAAAAATGACAAAAACGGCGTGTTGCGAGCTTGCTAGCAATTGAAAGGACGCACTTTATAACTAGAGCCAGTTATCGCCCCCCGGTGGCCATACACAGGAGATATCCGGGTTAGCAGTCTTTGGCTTAGCCTTTTGGCACTGTTGAACAAAGTTTTTGGGTCTTTTTACTAATTCCTCCCAAAAATCAAAATTTCAACATCTTGATAGGAAACTATTTTGCTTCAAAATTAAGTGCTTCAATTAGCCAAATAATTTCAATACCATTTCAAAATAATTTATTCACATTTTAAAATACACTCAGGGGTGGATCTAGAATTTTCTCGAGGGGGGAGGGGCACATTTACGAAAAAAAATTTCGAAAATTTTGTCGACCTTTTTTTTAGGTCGACCAAATTGATCTTTCGAGCACTCCCAAAGCACTGCTTGGTCCCAGTTTTGGCCAAATTTTCTGCGCCGCAGGCAAAATTTTGGGAAAAAAGCAGGCCAAGAAGCGTTCTTGGGCACTTTTTGGAAAATTTTGACCAAAAAATCGCGTTTTTTCGGTGCGCTGCCCCCTCAAAATTAGTATATATTGGCGCCGAGGGCGCTTTTGGAAAATTTTTAGGGTCCATCATCAAAAATGAATATTGGAAAATAGGCCGACTAAATTGATGTACGAGGTCTTCAAAAGCACTAAAAAACCCTGTGTTGGCCAAATTTTCTGCACCGGAAGCAAAGTTGAAAAAAAAACAGGTCAAAAAAGGCGTTTTTAGGCACTTTTTGCATAGAAATTTTGACTCGAGGGCGCCTTTAAAAATTTTTTAGGTTCCAACACCAAAAATGGATATTGGAAAATAGTACAAAAGGCGGACCCTTTGGATTGGCAGGGGTCGAATCCCCGAGGGGGGATCGAATTCCTAAATCCGCGTCTGCCTAAGACAATCGAATTCGCATTTTTCAGAATTTTCATGCAAGTCAATTAACCTAAAAACTCATCATTTTAGGCAGGAGTATCTAGCAACAAAAATTGATTTCTATACACCGGCTACGCAAATTTGTTGCTACTGCTCGAACATTTTTTGAGAAAAGACAGATAATGAGTTAGTTTTCTAAAAGTTACATGAGAAGCCTCAAAGTCTTAAAATTCAACGTTACATTTTTCAGCAAAATAGTAAACGAATTTCAGATAAAAACTGAAACTTTCATTCACATGAATCGGTATTGCTTTTTCTCGGACTCGGAGTCAGTTTTCGTGTTGGAGTCAACCAGCAAATCAAACTGCTGCAAGGATAAAAGCTGAATGGAACCAATTAAAACTGACTGATAAGGGAGGAGATCTCGCTTTGCTCGCTTTTTGTTTGGGCAACAATTACACTTGGCCTGGTAAGTATTTTTTAGATAGATATCCCAGCTCTCAAATATCAACGAAATGTTTTCCTCTTTTGCTCTTAAATTTTGTTTTTTTTT